TCCTTACCAGAATTGTCTTTGATGTCCATAATTCTGCCAACAGTCTCTTCAAGGCAGTCTTAAAACTCTTCCAGCTTCTATCCATTCACAGTTTCAAAACTGCTTCCACATTTTAGGTATTTTGTTAGAGCAGCACCCCACTTTTGATACCAAATTGTGTCTTAGTCTAATGCTACTGTAACAGAAATACCACAAGCGGATGGCTTTAACAAAGAGAAATTTATTCTCTCACAGTCTAGGAGGCTAGAAGTCCGAATTTAGGGCATCAGCTCCAGGGGAAGGCTTTCTCTCACTGTCATCTCTGGGGGAAGGTCCTTGTCATCAATCTTCCCCTGGTCTAGGAGCTCCTCAGTGAAGGAACCTCAGGTCCAAACAATGCGCTCTGCTCTCAACGTTGCTTTCTTGGTGGTATGAGGTCCCCATGTCTCTGCTCACTTCTCTTTTTTATATCTTAAAAGAAATTGACTTAAAATGCAACCTAATCTTGTAGATTGATTCCTGCCTCGTTAACATGACTGGCACTAATCCCACCTTATTAACATTATAGATGTAGGATTTACAACATATAGGAAAATTATATCAGATGACAAAATGGTGGACAGTCACAGGCTGTGAGGGGTACACCAGCCTATACTTAAACCTGTTGCCATCGATTCGATTCTGACTCATTGCACCCCTATAGGACAGAGCAGAACTGCCCCACAGGATTTCCAAGGCTGTGAATCTTTTTATGGAAGCAGACTGCCACATCTTTCTCCCATGGAGTGGCTGGTGAGTTTGAACTGCTGACCTTTCAGTTAGCAGCCAAGCACTTAACTGCTGCGCCACCAGGGCTCCAGCCTGTACTTAGTGTTTCACATACAGACTTTTTTTTAAGGCATAACAACAGCTACCCTGCCAGCCTCACTGAGTTTTTGTGAATCTTAAATGATATGATGGCAAAGGATTTTATGATTTCAAAAGCACATTCCAGTATGAAATATTAGCATTGAGAATGCACTACATATACCACATCCTAGAAGGTACTACATACCTTTTTTTTTTTTTTTAAATGCCCCATTCCTGTCTCCCCCATCCCTTGGTAACCACTAATCTTCTTTTGTCTCAATGGATTTACCTATTGTAGATATTTCTTATAAGTGGGATTATACAGTATTTCCTTTTCTTTCATGCTTATTTCACTCAGTGTATTTTCCAGGTTTATCCATGTGGTAACATGTATCAGAACTTCATTTCTGTTTATAGTTAAATATACTCCAGTGTATGGATAGACCGCATTTTGTTTATCCATTCATCTTTTGATGGGCTCTTCTGCATACTATTGTACATACAGAGTTTATTTAATCCTCACAGCCACTCCCTAAATTAGGTTGCATTCATGTACTCAGTCAACAAACATTTGTTACAGTTGTGATTGACAGACACAATCCCTGCTCCTGTGGAGGTTGTAGCTCAGTTAAGTAAACCAGGCGGTGTACCATCCAGTGATACCAGAATAGTAACGGAGAGCTGAGGTGATCAGAGAAGCTTTCTGGAAGAAGTGTCATCTTCGCCATGACCTGGTTAGCCAGGTCAGGCGAGATTAGGAGCCTGGGCCTCAGAGTCAGGTGGACTTGGTATAAGTCCCAGATTTGCCACTCCCTAGACCTTGGGCAGCAAGTCCCTTAACCCCTCTTACAACTTTCCTTGCCTGTAAAATCATAGGGTGTCAGCAGAAATAAAAGAGGTAACACATCTGAGGTGCTTGGAACATAGTTTGACTTTAAAGGCTCGTTATTATTCAATGCTCTGGAGTCCCTTCAGTGATGCAGACAGTTAGTGCACTTGACTGCTAACTGAAAGGCTGGACTTTGAATCCACCCAGAGGGGCCTTGGAAGAAAGCCCTGGTGATCTACTTTGGAAAAATCAGCCATTGAAAACCCCATGGGTTAGAGTTCACTCTGACACACGGGGGGTTGTTGGAGTGGACAGCAACTGGGGTTTTTTTGGTAGTTATTATGGATATTAATATTAGTATTTTTAAAAATAATATTTGTGTTTTCAGTGAAGGTTTACACATAGTTTAGGTTCCCATTCAACAATTTCTACACAGATTGTTCAGTGACATTGATTACATTCTTCACAATGTGTGAATATTCTCCATATTTCTGTTCTGGTTGTTCTGTTTCCATTAATCTAGATTCCCTGCCTCCTTGTTAATATTAGTATTTTAAAAATCATACACTTAAGATCTGTGCATTTTACAGCATCCAAATTATATCTCCTTAAAGTTCTGTTAACATGGAGAAAAATCATGATGGCTTGAGCATAGAGTGCTGGGTGGGGAGTGGGGAGGCATGAGGCTTAGAGGTGAGCCATGCCGGACCTTTTACGGAGGCTTAGAGGTGAGCCATGGCCAACCTTTCACAGGTGAGAAAACCAAGGATTGAGGGACAAGCGTCTTGTTCAACTTGGTAATTCAAGCAGGGAAGCCAGAATTGGAACCCAAGTCTGTCAGACCCTGAGCAGTTCTTCTAACGTGTATGTGCTTTGGTTTCAATGTGTGTGTTTTGATCAGCAGGCTTGCATGCAATCAGACATGATCAAGGGTAGTGCCTCACTTAAACTAACAAATGATTTTTCGCAATAGACGTGCAGTTTAAATCCTGTTTCCTGGGTTGTATGTATTTGTTTTTTGGCAGCTGTGGGCTTTAGCGTCTGATAGATCTTTAACGTGAAGGAAAGAAAATGATAGTGCAGAAAGGAGGAAACCTGAGGATAAAAGGGGAGGGGAAACCACAGGTGCCTTTGTGTTGCCACAGCAGCTGGCGATTCTGAAAAGGTGGGGGTAGGGAGGAGGGTTGAGCCAGCTCCAAACCGGAAGAAGGCAGTTTGGAGCCCCTCAGGGGGAGGCAGTGGTGGTTCAGTGGTAGAATTCTCACCTTCCATGCCTGAGACCCGGGTTCAGTTCCTTGCCAGTGTACCTCAGCACAGCTACCCCCCATCTGTCAGTGGAGGCTTGGGTGTGACTGTGAAGCTGAAGAGGTTTCAGCAGAGCTTCCAGACTAAGACAGACTAGGAAGAAAGAACTGGTGACCTACTTCTGAAAATCAGCCAGTGAAAACCCTGTGGATCACAACGGTCCGTCCGCAACCCATCGTGAGGTTGGTGCTGGACAGGGCAGTGTTTTGTTCCATTGCCCAAGGGGTCTCCATGAGTTGGGGGCCAGCTCAACAGCAGCTGACAACAAGAGGGCTTGCCTAAGGCAGGGCTTTCCCTAGATTCTCTTCCTAGGCTAACAGTAAGTCCCCTACCCCTTGCCTCTCATCTCTGCCTCCTGTAGCAAGGCAGGTAGGGTTTTGTGTTTTGTTACGATGCAGGACCTGAAGCTCTCTTCTGTCCTTTGCATTCCTCCAAATCAGGTTATTCTAGTATTCCTGGCATTTGGCAAGTGGTGGAGGGTGACCTGTATCTGTCATAGCTGTCAGCAAAGAAGGACAACTGCAGGCTCATCTCAGATCTTTGGTCATTTGTGAGGACACAGGCTGCAGCCCAGCAAGAGTTCTCTAGGGGTTGGCTCTTCAGCTGAGGCAGGAGCTCAGGCTGTTGGCTTGAGAGCCTGGCTTTGTGGCCAGAACCAAATGTCTGAAGCACCATGGGAGGGGTTGTTCTTGTTAACCAGGTGCACGAATTTTACTAGGAGCAATAGTCGAGGCAGCAGGTTGTTAGGCTGCTGCAGAGTGGTGGCTCATCCCCAAGTCTGTCTGTCCTGTGAACAGATGAGCTGATACAGTGGTTCTATCCAACACACGTGCCCCCGTGTGTCTTACCAAGTTTGCTAATCATCTAAAAACCAAAGGAATAAACTAAAAACATAATGTAAGTTTGTTTACAAATTAAGTACCTTTTAATGTTCTTATAAAACTATAAGAGTTCAAAAAAACTTCCGTCTTTTGTCTAGATTAGTTTTATTCTTAACCTTTAGATTTTAATATTGCGTGTTAACTTTAAAGCGTTTTGAATTTCTAAAATACAATTAGTTTTATCTAGAGATGACTTTTATCTTATTTAATTACGTAAAGCAGTTAGTAATAGCACACAGCCTATTATTAAGACTGCATGTGTTGGAGGTTTTGGCAAGAGGAGGGAGGCATGATATTGACCATTCTGGTTGAGCCAGGTGTCTGGTCTGAAAAATTAGAAACTGAGAATTTTAAATTTTCTTAGACATGCACGAATATGGTGCCATATACCCCGTTGCTGTCAAGTCGATTCCAACTCAGCAACACTATAGGACAGAGTAGAACTGCCCCACAGGGCTTCCAAGGCTGTAATCTTTACGGAAGCGACTGCCAGATCTTTCTCCCATGGAGTGGCTGGTAGGCTCAAACTACTGAGATTTCAGTTAGCAGCCAAGCACTTTATCACTGTGCCATGAGGGCTCCTTAGTATGGTGCCATTAGCCACCTAGAAAGTTGAGATTGACTCGACAGCACCCAATAACAACAGCAGCCACCTGTAAGGAGCCCTGGTGGCACAGTGGCTAAGCGCTCAGCAGCTAACTAAAAGGTGAGTGGTTTGAACCTACCCATCGGCTCTGCGGGAGAAAGACCGGCCATTTGCTCCCATAAAGATTACAGCCTAGAAAATCCAGTGGAGCTGCTGTAAGTCAAAAATCCACTCGATGGCACCTAACAACAACAGGAGAAAAATATGTGTAATAAACCAGTAATAAAGATCAACAATGATTTTGAAGGAAAAAAAGAACTTTTTATTTAGGGTAATGGACATTATCATCCCTCCCCCTCATCCAGACTTTTAGTTATCAAAAACATGCTATCTTAACTCTTTGATAATGGTTAAAAAATGTGTGTCAGCAACCTCTAACAACAGGATAACACCTGCATCATAGCCAAATTGCGTTTCAGTGTCCTGAATAACACAGTGTCCATCATGTTCATATTTAATCAGATTTGTGGTTATTCTAATTTTACTAATGAAATTTTTTTTCCCCCATCAGGGATGGATGAACGAGATTTACAGCTATGATCCCGAAACTTACCATGCAACTTTGACACATTCAGTCTTTGTTCGACTCGAGGGTGGGACCTTACGACTTTCGAAGCCCAATAAAAATATATCCAGGAGGGCCAGCTACAATGAAACAAAGCCGGAGGTCACATACGTCAGCCAGAAAATCTATGACCTCTCAGACAGCAAGGTGAGCCGGAGTAATTTTGGAAGGAGCATGTAGATGAACGAAGCTGCATTTGCAATCTTGGTTGCTTTACTCTATTTTTCCTCCTAAATTTTTTTTTTTTTGAAGTATTAGTGTAATTTCAAGTAGTACCTCTCAAACAGAGTCCTGGGTGGCACAAGTGGCTAAGTGCTGGACTACTAACCAAAAGGTTGGCAGTTCAAACCCACCCAGAGACACCTCAGGTAAGGTCTGGCGATCTCCTGAAAGGTCACAGCCTTGAAAACCTTACTGAGTGCAGTTCTACTCCGCACACTTGGGGTCGCCATGAGTCAGGACTGACTGGTTGGCACTAACAACGTGCTTCTCAAACTTTAATTGGCTTTATACTTTAATGTACATATGAATCACCTGGTCATCTTCTTAAATGCAGATTCTATTTCAGCAACTCTGGGTGCGGCCTGAGAGTATGCATTTTTATGAGCTCCCAGGTGATACCAGCTGCTGGTCCACAGACCACACTTTGAGAAACAAGGACATCACATAATCTTCTGACTCTGAAGGTTGATTTTTTTCAGTTAAACAAAAAGTTATGTGTGGTGGTGCTAGGGTAATAACTAATGAAGGCTCCGTAAATGTGAAAATTACAGATATGCAAAATAACCAACATTTTGAAAAAACTATTACATGCTTTTGTTCGTGTGAGAAATATAACTTATTTGTTATTCCACAAAGCTAGAGGTCCTCTGGTCTTTTTATAACTCATCTGAATGATCTTTTAAGTTTCCCCAAAATGACAAAAGCATTTATAATAATTTTTGTATAAATTTATTCTTAATTTGAGGTTGATAAACTTCAGCTTCCCATCTAGTTTGATGAATTATTTTTCCAGCTTAAGTCTGACCCAGGGTTATTTAACTCAGTTGATCCCTAACCTCAGCTGGTGATAATCAACAAAACATTTATTATGCTATTGGTATTTAAAAATATAAATATTTGTAACTTTTGCAAAATTCTTAAACATCTACTTTCTGGAATGATTTTGAAAAATAAGTCATTTCTAGAAATTCTGGTTTCTATAGTCGTGTTATAGATGGGTGGTAAATATTATTTCACATTCATTTTAGTCAAAAATAATATAAAATATGTATTTGTGATATGCATAATACTAATACACAGTGTAGCTGATCCTTGATTTAATATGTAAGTTATCATTTTCTTTTCTCTGTAGATCTATCTTATGCCTAAAAGTTTGGCTCGAAAACGAATCTGGAATAAAAAGTACCCCATTTGTATTGAGCTTGGTCGACAAGATGACTTTATGTCTAAGGCCCAGACTGATAAGGAAACATCTGAAGAGAAGCCACCAGCTGAGAGAGAGCTGGCAGGGGAGGACCCTAAGAAGCCACCTCAGGAGGGAACAAGATCTGGCCAGCGAGATCAGATACTGTATCTCTTTGGGAGAACTGGCCGAGAAAAAGAGGAGTGGTTTAGGAGATTTATTCTGGCATCTAAACTGAAGTCAGAGATGAAGAAGCCACCTGGTTTCTCTGGAAATAAACCAGGTATTGACATGTGTGCTAAATGCTTATGTATTTTTTAAGGGTCTTTACGGGAAACTGAAAAAGATTCCCAGGTAGGAAGGAAGCCCACCCTGAATTGATTACTGCCTGCCCCGGAAGGTGTATTCTCATGAATCTTGCCTTTTAGGCTGATTGCTACAACCTTTGGTACCAAATCATTTGACCACCGTTGGAACTACTTGCAGGTTTTTGTTTGTACTTTATTTTTACACATTGGAACGCCTTTGAGAGAAGCAGCTAAATAAAGGAGAACCCTAATTATAAGAAGGCAGGTGAGCCAGGAAGATACTTCAGGCGAGCATCCTCCAAGCCGAGTTTGCCTTAGAAATGCAGAGTCCTCAGGCCTTCTGTTCCACTGCATGCATATCGGTCACCATGCAGCACCTCTTTGCTTAGCTCTGGCTAGGCCTGGGGCTACGAGGGACACAAATACAGTAAAATTTAAGCAGTAACACCCCTGCCCCTCAGGTGGTGTGCCTGTTAGACAAAACTGACCCACATGAGTCAGATGTTAGGAAATTGCTTGGCTAAAATGAGCATGGTACAGCTAGTAATTATAGGAGATCAGAGGACAAGATCAGCTTGGATGTCATTAGGGAAAGCTCTTTTGGATGGAGTAAGACTAGGATTGAGCCACTCTGGGGCTTTACCTAACAGATCTTGCGGATCACGGAGTTATGGGGGGTCACATGAGTCTCGAACACTGCGTCAGATTGCTTTGGTTCCTTCCCCTGGGACATTTGCTGACCCACCATTCTGTCAGCCTTCCACACCAGCTTCCATCCTGATCCCAAAACTGAGCTCTGAGATGTCACTTGGAAATACCCAAGACCACTAAAAATCAAGATGAATACGAAGATTTCTGGGTAAAAGAAAATTCAAGTGAGTGAGAACGCCTCAGCACCAGCCTTAGCTCTTCTGGTAGATCTAAATTTGTACCATCCAGTATGGTAGCCACTAGCCACATTTGGCTGTTGAGCACTTGAAATGTGGTCTGTCCAAACTGATGTGCTCTAAGTGTATAATGCACAACAGATTTTGAAGTCTTAGTACCAAAACAAAAAGTGAATTATTCATATTTTTTATTTTGTTACATGTTGAAATGATAATATTTTAGATAAAAGGGGGTAGATAAAATATATTCAAATTAATTTCATCTGTTTCTTTTTACTTTCTTAATGTGGCTACTAGAAATTTAACAGTGCATATGTGGCCTCCATTTGTGGCTCTCATCCTGTTTTTCTTGGATGGTGCTGGTCCAGGCAGTGACGCTTGGGACCACCAGGAAACAACACCTTAGGTGCTCAGGAGCCACCCAGATCAGCTCCCAAGCATCATGTTATTGATGGACCTAACCGGAGCATTTGATTGTTTTAAGTGAGTTTGTCTTTTTGGAAATCCTGCCAAACGTGTCCAGACTTTGACTCACTACCCAGAAAACTGAATGGTAGGAGTCAGAGATGTGGGAAAACGTTTAGTGCACTTGGACTAAACTCCAACAAGGCTACGCTCTCACACCACTCATGTCTTTCTGTGTATGTTTTCCTGGGCTGCCTTTAAAGGCTGTGAATTGAGACATTAACAGTAAGTGTAAGCCTCAAAAGCATGATTGAGCTGATAAACCAACCTGTCCCGTTGCCATCAAGATGATTCCAACTCATAGCGACCCTATAGGACAGAATAGAACTGCCCCATAGGGTTTCAAAGGAGTGGCTGGTGAATTCGAACTGCCAACCTTTTGGTTAGCAGCCAGACTCTTAACCACTGCGCCACCAGGGCTCCGATAGAACTGGTAGCAAAGATAAATTGGTGAGGAACCTGCCGTCCTTCAGAACCATCTCTGAACCAGCAAGTGGGCACGGGTGGCTAGAAGTCAGCTAGTAAGGTGGGACTGGTGCGGATTTGCCAAGGCTAAGAACATTCTGTCAGTCGAAGAAGATAGAAGTCCTCTGGACAACCTGGCCATGTCCTCTTTCTCAGGGGTGCTGTCACTGAAATCATAGATTTCTCTGGCAATTGATTAAGCTTCTCAAACTTGAGCATTTGCAGTGATCTTGCTAAAGTGTCGGTTCTCATTCAGGGGACCTGGATGGGGCTGTGACTCTGTATCTGTAACAGGCAATGCCCGTGCTGCAGGACCTTTCATGGCTCTGGAAGAGGTTCTGGAGAAAGTGGGAAGCCGTGTGGGCTGTTGGCGGAATTCTAGTGTGATCTATGCACAGGAAGGTTCTTGACGTTATCAAGGGCCATTGTCCGTGAGCTGCACAGAGCAGTGACTGCTCCTGTGCTTTCTCCAACTCAAGGGACATGTGACAATAGTATGAAGGGCTGTTCTGTGAGCAGTGAACACCAGCCAAGCTGTAGAACAGTGTTTCCTTTCTTCCTCTGTGTCAGTTAAGAGAAGGAACCCTGGTGGCGCAGTGGTTAAGCACTCAGTTGTTAAGTAAAAGGTCAGCGGTTCAAACCCATCAGTGGCTCCATGGGAGAAAGAACTAGTGATCTGCTGATCTGCTGCTGTAACGATTATAGCCTAGGAAACCCTGTGGGACAGTTCTGCTCTGTCCTGTGGGGTCGCTATGAGTCGGAACTGACTGGATGGCACAAAACAACAATAAATTGGTTGAGAGGAGGAAGGACCTCTCTTGGCTCAGTCATGAGTAGGTCAATTTGGTTTGAAGTATTAGTCCAAGTAAGTGCACTGAAAGTTTTCCCATATCTCAGACTCCTACTATTCGGTTTGCCGGGTGGTAAGTAAAAGTCTGGGAAAGTTATGTAATGTAAAACCTCAAATATTCAAATGCTGGGAATTTTCTAGGTAAGACTTAAATGAAGAAACATCTCGTGTGGCCCTTTGTGAAGCCATGGGGAGTTACAGATCATACAGCTAGAGCCTCAAAAGTGACGCTGCCCTGCTTATTTTCATCTTTTTTTTTTTAATTATTAACTAAACTCTAGGCTTTATTTGGATTTCACTAGCTTTTCCACTAATGCCTGTTTCCTGTTCCAGGATCTGATCCAGGATACCACATTACGTTTAGTTTTCATCGATCTTTAAATGTTTTTGGTATAGCTTTTACATCAACATTTTAAAATATTGTATTAAAATGATATGAGGAGAATAAAGGCTTATAAAAATTAATTTCTATAGTTATGCAGTGTAAAACCTCAAATATTCAAATGGTGGAAATTATCTAGCTATAACTTAAAGAAGAAACGTCTTGTTTGGCCCTTTGTAAGGCCATGGAGCTTGGAGCCTCTCAGAAATAAAACAATTTGATTTGGTTTTTAACCACTCTGCCCTTTACCTTGCTCTCAGAGTAAGCCTAAGAAAATTTATCTGTATTAGGCACTTCCCATGCTTTAACCCCCTCTAGAGTAAAATTTAAATCCTAGTGTACCGCTTTGGAGGTGCTGTGCAGTCTCTTCCCAGCCAGTCTCTATCCTCACTCCCTCTCTCACTGCCCCTTGTGCAGTGACTCTTCACTGAATCTCTCACTGTGCTCCATACACTCTGTACCCTCCCACCCCACTGCTTTTTGTATATGCCGTACCCTGTACCTGGAATTCTCTTCCCGCACCTGGGCCAGGAAAATGCCAACTGTTCCTCAAGATGCAGCCCAGAGGTCACTGCCTCTGCAAGCCTGTCTCAGCTCTCTGGGCAGTTAGTCACCCCCTTCTTTCTGCTCTGAAAGTCCTTTAGTTGTGCTTCAGTTGTGATACTTACAACAGAAAATTGTGACTTGTCTGCCAAGGTGTCTGGATTCAAGGGCAGGGCTTACTCCTTGTTCTTTTTAGCACAGAATTGGCCCAGAGAAAGTGCTTGGTGAATAATTTGTTGAATAAAAGATGGCGTGTTTGGAATTGCCGTGAGCTGTGAATGAACAGTTATTAGCCTCTGCCCACTTTCCATGTGCCCTTAATGGCACTCACAGGTCCTCTACTCAGGGTGTGTCGTTTTTATATTTGACCCTAAAAGATCACCTGTAAAAAAGAGAAAGATACCTTCCAGCTGTATTTCATTGTTCCCATTACTCTGAATTATCTTGGAGATGAAGACAAGCTTCCTAAAAATTATCCATCATTAGAGCAAAAGGTATTTTACAGGGTGGGAAATATCCTTATAAATACCTTTAAAACAGTCATGATAGCATTTTAGCTGCTTTTCACTTAACCCAGTGGAGTTTGTTCTTCTGAGTTCCATCTACTTTGCAGTCCTTTTCTTCATTTGTATTAATAGCCATCTCTTCTTTGCTCCAGGGGTTTTGCCCACACACAGCAGACACAACAGTCCCTCTGGGCACCTGACCCATAGCCGCAGCAGCAGCAAAGGCAGCGTGGAAGAAATCATGTCCCAGCCGAAGCAGAAGGAGCTGGTGGGCAGCGTGCGGCAGAAGATGCTTCTGGACTATAGCGTGTACATGGCCAGGTGTGTCCCCCAAGAAAACCGAAGCCCCCAGAAGAGCCCCGTGCTGAGCGCTGAGAGCAGCCCCACAGCTGGGAAAAAGGTAATGCTGGCTGCCTGGGCTGTGGTTTTTCTGGTCTTCTGTTCAAACGCGTTTCTTTGTACATATGCTCTCTGAGTGTCTGTTTTGTGCTAGGCCCTGTTCTAGGCATCAGGGACACAGTGATGAACAGAACAGACAAGGGCCCTGCCCTCAGGGAGTATGTGTTTCCATTGGGGAGACAGCAAGAAACAAACATCAGGTGGTGATAGAATTAGAGTAAAACCGGATAAGGGAGATAGAAACAGCTGCTGTTTTAGATGGGTGGTCAGGGAGGGCCTGGTGAGGAGGTGCCCTTCCGGCAGAGACGGGACTGAAGGGAGGAAGTTGAGCCATGGGGATATGTGTGGGAAGGGTTTTCCAGGTGCAGGGAACCAGCAGGTGCAGAGACCCCACAGTAGGAATGTGGTTGGGGGGTGGTCAAGATACAGCAAAGAGGCCAGTGTGGCTGAACAGTGTGAGCAAGGGAAAGAGGAAAACAGTGAGGTTGAGGGTTGGCAGGGTGGTAGGGCCCCTGAGAGGGTTTTGAGTGGGGAGTGACGTTGATTTAATTCAAGTTTAAAGCGATAAGTGGCTCTCCTTGAGTGGGTTGTAGGTGGTCAGGAGTGGATGGGAGGTGATCACAGCAGTCAAGGATGGGGTTGAGATTACCGCCTGCTCCGGTAATAGCAGGTGGTTTTAAGTGGCTGGGTTTGAGATGTGTGTTGAAGGTAGAGCCAGCAGGATCTGCTGATGGATTAGATGTGGGGTGTGACAATGAGAGGAGTCAAGGATGATTCCTAGATTTTTGACCTGAGCAGGTAGGTGATCTGTAGGGAAGTTTCAGAGAGTCATTAGTAATGGAGATCTAATTTCCTCAATAACCATTATAGTCCCAAATTCTCAGACTCCTCAACTATGTCCAGTGCTTTTGAAGACTTAACCACAAGCATTGTTTCCAAAGTATAACAAGCTTGACGTTGACTCTGGGTCATCTATGATAAAATAAATAATATAAGCTGCAACATGCCAGAAAGTTAGGCACTTTAATATATTTAATCTTTTTTACAGTCTTGCGAACTCAGTGGTATCTCTCCAGTTTGTAGCTAGAGAAACGGAGGCTCAGACATGTTAAATAACCACACAGCTGCTGAGTGGTGGAGCGTGCAAAACCTGATCTGAGACTCTGTAGCCCCTGGGCTTTCCAGACTGCCGTCTGGGTGGGTCATTGTACTACTCTGCTTCACCCCAGGGCCTCTGTGCCTCTACTGCACACTGATGGTCTAAGACACAGCTTCCCACTATGGAACACGAAGCCTGTTCTTCATGTTCACTCGCTAAGGTGTTTGACCTCTCACAGTGACAGTATTTCTGTTCTTAATGGGAGGCATTTGGTGCCTTTCCTCTTTGTGCCTGGTAGCTGGTTTTTATTCATTCCATTGATCCTCTTTAGTGTGGAAGAGGCCCCTGAACTACTTACCTCACCTGCTTTAACTTATCAGGGCAAAAAGGACCATATGCCTTTGCTGGCCTCTGACCTACTGCCTTCACCTTCTGACCTAAGTTACCAGCTAATGGAAAATAGAGCTCCCTCTAGGCTAGGGTGGGGTGATATAAAACTGTTCCAAAATTGTCTTTTTTACCAATTGTGAGCCTCTCCCCTTCCTCCACCCTTCCATTCCCTGCTCCCTGGGCTCTCAGCTGTCAGGACTTTTATTAAGCTCAGGAAAATCCGGAGCGGAGTTGTGCGCTGGCATAAGAAAAATATCCAATAGAATGTTTCTTTTTAAAAGAGCTCCTTTTAGAACATTGCTTGCTCAGTGTGTTACACAAGCTTGTTGTACCGTGTAAATCCCGGTAAAGCTGGGCCCATGTAAACCCGAGGAGGCCCTGATGGCTCAGCCACCCAGCCCCTCTACCAGTGAGGGGTGTTCTCTAGTACAAACCACCTTTCTAGGTACTTGGCGCTTACCCCTTTAAGCACCATTTTTTTTCCTTCTTCTTAAGTCTGATGAAAATCTTTTAAAACCACATTACGCTTCCTTGCCCCGCAGAGCAGGCAGGGATGATTTAATCTTGATAATTTGAAGACTCAGTACAGTGAGCAGAAACTCAGTCCTGTTGTAACGCAGGGCTGCTGAGGTCTAAAGGCCTTTCATCCCTGGTCTGAATGCTGGCTGTGCAGTATTTTCTCTTGGTTATCAGTTGGCTGCCATTGCTATGTGTCCTTCTAGTTGGCTTTTCCTTGAGCCCTCATTTCCCACCTCCACGGTTGTTAATTTAATGATTCTAATGTGCCACGGGCTAGGAAATTAGAGAGCCAGAACTGTGTGTGAACAAACAGAAATAACTCTTTGAAAGCGGGGCCTTTGAAGAAAGTGCAGGAGCTTTAGTGCTGGGTTCCCATGTCCACTTGGCCTACCTGAAGCGTGTCTGGGCCATGTCCTGTCTCCCAGGGTGGTCTGGTAGTTGAGATGGTCTTGAATAAAGTAAGTGTTTGTTCTAGTTAGCTATTGCTGAGTAACACACAACCCCAAAAGTCACGGCTTAAAACAATAACAATCACTATTTTACTCACAAATTTGCAATTTGGACAAGGCTTAGCGGTGAAGGCTCCACTCAGTGTCTACTGGGGAGGCTAGACTGGGGGCTAGAGCATCTAGTTCCAAGATGGCATGCTCACATGGCTGGCAAGTAGATGCTGTTGAGAGGGAGCTCACCTGGGGCTGAGGGCTAGAGGCCACAGTTTTCTCCATTTGACTGGGTTCCAAGGGCAAGTGTCCCTAGAGAAAGAGCAGGTGGAAGTTGTATTACTTTTATGACCTAGTCTCAGAAGTAGCATACAGTCAGCTCTTGATATCTGCAGGTGTCACATCCCCTGATTAAACCAACTGCAGTTCAAAAATAATTTGTTTTAAAAAAAAGTTCCAGAAAGCAAAACTTGAATTTGTTGCATACCAAGCACTGTGCTGAATCCATGCGAATGAAATGATGTGTAGGCATCCCCTGCTGTAGCCTCCCACCATTTCACAGATCCTCAGCCTCTCCAGCACTCATTCAAGCATTGTTTGCCTTGTCATTATTCCCTAAACAGTACTGTATAACAGTTTACATAGCATTTGCATTGTATTAGGTATTGTAAGTAATCTAGAGATGATTTAAACTATACGGGAGGATGTGCATAGGTTATAAGCAAATACTTGCCATTTTATATAAGGAACTGGAGCATCTGCTGATTTTAGTATCCATGGGGGCCCTGGAGACAGTCCCCTACAAATACCGAGGGACGACTGTAGTGTTACTTCTGCCATACTCCGTTAGTAAAGCAGTCACACACAAGACTGCCAAAATTCAAGGAGGGGGCAAAGAGTCCACTGCATTCTGACGGGGAGCAAATTCCTAGAAGAGCATGTGGGATAGGAAATCTTGTTGCACCACTTTTGGAAAACAAGAGCTGCAGCAGTGTTCCTCTACTAATTTTATTATTTTTCATGCTTTCCTTTCTAAGTCAGTAGAAATCATTCCTACCAGTTTTATTTCTTACTTATTTTGTGATTTGAATAAATGAGGACCTTTCCCCCATCCCTGTTGGTATCATTTTCTTTTGTGAACATATAAAGTGTTAAGCTGGTTCTAAAAGTCAGCACTGTAGAAAGAGGTATACTCAGAAGAGTGTCATTCCTCCTGCCCCACTCCTTCTGTGTCTTCATCTCATTCTGCCTACCTTTGTAGGGAACACATCTCTGCAGTTGCTTGTTTATCCTTTCTGTATTAATTTCTATTCTGTCTTAACTCAAAATGTAGCATACTATGAATTACACATTTCTTTCTTTTTTTTTTTCACTTGCCAATATATTCTTGAAATCACTCCACATAAATTCATAGATTATCCTTTTAATTAATTAATTACTCCATTTGATGAATGGACAAAATGTGGCCTATCCATACAATGGAATGTTATTTGCAATAAAAAAAGAATGAAATACTGATACATGCTGCAAACCTGTTAAAAGACCATACATTGTATCATTCCATTTATGTGAAATGTCCAGAGGAGGCAAATCCATAAGACACAGGAAGTAGATTAGTGGTTGCTTAGGCCTGGGGATATGGGGGAAGTGTTGGGGAGGAATAGGGAGTGACTGCTAATGGGTAAGGGGTTTCTTTTTGGGGTAATAAAATTTTTCTAAAGTTGTGGTGATAGCTGTACAACTCTGTGAATATGCTAAAATCATTAAATTGTATACTTTAAAAGGGTGAGTTGTATGGTATATGAATTATATCTCAATAAATCTGTAAAGAAAAAAAGAAAAGATCCAAAACCATGTTGTTGTCGTTAGATGCCATTGAGTCGGTTCCGACTCACAGCAACCCTGCGTACAGCAGAATGAAACATTTCCTGATCCTGAGCCATCCTCACAGTTGTTGTCATGCTTGAGCCCATTGTTGTAGCCACTGTGTCAGTCCATCTCATTGGGGGTTGTCTTAGTCATCTAGTGCTGCTCTAACAGGAATACTATGAGTGGATGGCTTTAACAAGGAGAAGTTTATTCTCTCACAGTCCGGTAGGCTAGAAGTCCAAACTCAGGGCATCAGCTCCAGGAGAAGGCCTTCTCTATCTGTCGGCTCTGGAGAAAGGTCCTTGTGATGCATCAGTCTTCCCTTGGTCTGGGAGCATCTCAGCGCAGGAACCTCAGGTCCAAAGGACACGCTCTGCTCCCGGCACTGCTTTCTTGGTGGTATGAGGTTCCTGTGTGTCTCTGCTTGCTTCTCTCTTTTATATCTCAGAAGAGATTGGATGAAGGCACTGTCTAATCTTGTGAACCTCATCAGTATAACCTCATCACAGTGATAGAATTTACAGCACATAAGCAGATCACATATAACCTCATCACAGTGATAGAGTTTACAACACGTAAGGAAATCACATCAGATTACACAGTCATACAACACTGGGAATCATGACCCAGCCAAGCTGACAGATATTTTGGGGGGAACACAACTTAACCCATGACAAGGGTCTTCCTCTTTTTCACTGACCCTCTACTTTACCATACATAATGTTCTTCTCCAGGGACTGATCCCTCCTGATAACATATTCAAAGTATGTGAGACGCTTGTGAGGAGTGCGCCTCTTAGCTCAAGCAGATACGAGAGACTAAATGGGCAGCTTCTGTCTGGAGGTGAGACGGGAAGGCAGAGAGGGTTAGGAGCTGGTTGAATGGACATGGGGAATAGGGTGGAAGGGAGGAGTGTGCTGTCACAGTATGGGGAGAGCAATTAGAGTCACATAACAATGTATGTATAAATTTTTGTATGGGAAAAAATAAAAGAAGAAAAAAAACAACAACATAATCTCACCATCCTTGCTTCTAAGGAGCACTCTGGGTGTACTTCTTCCAAGACAGATTTGTTCATTCTTTTGGAAGTCCATGGTATATTCAGTATTATTCTCTAACACCACAATTCAAAGGCATCAATTCTTTTTTGGTCTTCCTTATTCATCGTCCAGCTTTCACGTGCATATGAGGCGATTGAAAACACCACGGCTTGGGCCAGGCACACCTTAGTCTTCAAGGTGACACCTTTGCCTTTTAACACTTTAAAGACATCTTTTGCAGCATATTTGCCCAATGCAGTGCATCTTTTGATTTCTTGACTACTGCTTACATGAGTGTTGATTGTGGATGCAAGTGGAATGAAATCCTTGACAACTTCAATCTTTTCTCCGTTCATCTTGATGTTGCTTATTGGTCCAGTTGTGAGGATTTTTGTTTTCTTTATGTTGAGCTGTAATCCATACTGAAGGCTGTGGTCTTTGATCTTAATCAGTAAGTGCTTCAAGTCCTCTTCACTTTCAGCAAGCAAGGTTGTGTCATATGTATATCACAGGTTAATGAGTCTTTCTCCAATCCTGATGTCCCGTTCTTCTTCATATAGTCCAGCTTCTCGGATTACTTGCTCATCCTACAGATTGAATAGATACGGTGAAAGAATACAACCCTGACGCACACTTCCTGACTTTAAACCACGCAGTATCCCCTTTTCCTGTTCGAACGACTGCCTCTTGATCTACGTACAGGTTCCTCATGAGCAAAGTTAAGTGTTACAAAATTCCCATTCTCCGAAATGTTATCCATAATTTGTTATGATCCACACAGTTGAATGCCTTTGCATAGTCAGTAAAACACAGGTAAACGTCATTTTGGTATTCTCTGCTTTCAGCCAGGATCTATCTGATGTCAGCAATGACATCCTTAGTTCCACATCCTCTTCAGAATCCAGCTTGAATTTCTGGTAGTTCCCTGTCGACATACTGCTGCAGCCATATATTGGACCTGTTAGGTCCAATTTTGTTTGGGTTTGTAGCGGGATTGTGGGTGTTTTCTACAATGAGTATGTATTGTTTTTATAATTGGGGAAAGCAAACAAACATGGAGGAAGGGTCTTCCAGTGTGTCTTCTCCTGGAGTAAGTAGCCGTTTCTGCAACTCATGGCACCAGACCTTGTGTGGCCAAACCTTATGAGCAGAGGCACTAAGCTCTCTTTATAACAGAAATGAGGGCTGTCCTTAGCCATCTGTAACAGAAAATGTTACACCACAAAATTAAGTAAATTCTGTACTACTTTACTTTGGAGGTTAGTCTTTAATAAATATATCCCAAGAGCTACTCAGACAGGATGGCCTGGCTTTATCTTCAGACCACTGAACTCTCCAAACGTTTTTGTGGGGCACAATCTCTGGAAAGTTACCATTTCTAAATGTATGTCTATAGTTGAAATGGTGAAATGAATATTCTCCTCACATTTCTTCCTGCAGCTAAACAGCAGTATTAGGAGATGTATGCAGATTTATCCTTTAAGCAGTTATTATCTACGCTGTTACGACATGCACTGGAAGTGAGTTCTTCTACCAGCCTGTTAAGTCCAGATTTCGTTTATAAGACTTCTTTGACGCATCGCCCATGTTCTGCTGCTTTTGGATGTTTCTTTGTTCCCAGTGAGTCTGTGGAGAAAAGCCTACATTAGAAAAAGGAACTGTTGAAAAGGAGGAAAAAAAATGCTTGTCAGTTATTTCATAAATTTGTTTATCACATCGTACTGGTTTAGGCATAAATTGTGAAATAGCCTTTTTTCCTTGGGATTTTCTGCTAAACTTGTTGCCTGTGAATAACTAGGGTTGTAAAGAAAGATTAATAAAGGGTAGACTCTCCCAGTTGAGAAGGGAAAGAGTAACCTATTTTCTTATGTAGCCTGCAAATCTAAATAAGACAAGCAGTGCCCTGGTGGGCAGCAACCTGGCACTCTGAATGGCCAGGAGGACACTGTCCTTAGATGAGTATTTACTCAGAAGTCTGTTGAGATAATCTCATGTAACCACAGAGTAGCTTGAACTAGAACTTGGAATGAGGTGGAGATGTCTACGCAGAGAGAAGAATGATTCACAGAACATGTACAATGTGTGGCCTGACTCCTGCTCTTCCATTCAGGGTCTGGTTAATATCTAAAGACATTGCAGCACCAGAAGAGCACAGATGGAATACTATACAGCCATTAAGAAGAATGAGTTAGACCCATGTGTTCTGAAATGGAATGACTAACATATATTTTTTAAACCACAGTTTTTTGTTTTGTTTTTTTTAACGAGGCTCACCAACATGCACAAGGGAAACCTCTGAAAATACCCAAATTTGAAGGACTCCTAGAACATAAAATATCTCCCCTTAGATGCAGTAACATATGATTGAAAAAATTAAGTGAACCCCCAGACTCCCAAAGAGAGAGACACCGTAAGCTCTGACAAGACCAGTGGGCAGGTGGGTGCTGAGCAGTCCGCTAGGCTTGCCTTCAAGCCTCAGTGACTGGCTCACCTGTGTCAGAACCTCAAAACTCCGGGCTTCTGGGAAGTCACACTTACTACATGCCGTAAACCTTTGGGGTACTCACGGGTACTCAGACCTGAGGTGTCAAATCCATGCACACTAAGTGACCTGTGTACTATGCCACTGGTCTGTACACCCGATAGCTGTGATGTGGGCCCAGTCACAGCTGCCCAAAACAGAGCACTGTCGTGAATGCACCTTAAGGGGCACGGAGACAATGAGAGTGTCTGGGGTATTGCCGTGACGTGTGTTTTATTACTGCAGCCAGCCCGTGAGTGCAGAACAGGGGTGTTTGTATAGATCTTAGAGGGAGGGGAAAGGGTGAGCAATTCACAGATTTCTGCTTCTAGTTCTTTTGGTCTTTGCTTTCTAAGGCTGTTGTTTCTGTAAGGCTAATGTTTAATTAAAGACCCCAGCACAGGGTAATGTCTGTCACACCAGGGGCCATTTACAGAACAGGAGAAGAATGAGAATGAAACTCGGCGTTGTCGGGCTGTGCTCGTGAACTAGGGGCCTCAGGCAGGTCCCTGAATGCTTCCGGGTCTGTTTTCTCATCCGTAAAATGGACGTAAAGAGCCTGTCTTTCTGGGGTGTTGTGAGGAGTAAATGAGGCAGCATGAGAAAGAATCTCTCAGAGGGCCTGGCACATGGCAGTGGATAACAACAATAACAAGCACCACATCTCCAAGCATTAACTGTGTCCTAAGCACATCACCTGTACTGACCACTTAAACCTCACAGCACCCTCCGTGGCTGTTGCTGCCACTTCTCCCTTCTTCCCCTCATCCCTGGCTCTCTCCAGGCAGGATCTAGTCTAACAGTTAGCCTTGGAAATTGGAGACTAGCCCCGGTTTGCTCTTCTCCCACCTCACATGTTGGCCATGGCACATGTTTCAGATGGAAATATCAAATAGAGGTGAGGACCAGGGTATTTCACTGGGCTGAGACTGGGGAGAACAACCGTGAGAGTTTGCGGCTCTGTCTTCTCCAGTGCTGTGGTTCTCAGCCTCACCTGCTCATTGCATCATCAAGGAACTTCTGAAAATCCTGATGCCCAGTTAAATTAGGCTGTCTGGGGGTGAGACCCAGCCATCATTATTTTTTAAGCTTCCCCCTCATGCCTCCTCCCCAAGAATCTTGGCATCTCAAGGCTTGGGCTGAACATAAAGAGTCCTGGCCACTGGGGAACTGGGTTCTGCTTAGGTGAGGACCAGCTTGACAATTACACATCCAAGGACCTTCACTGGAAAAAAGATAGGTGGACATTTGATCAGATATGTCATTGATTCAGAATGTTGATACCAAGCTGATTTTTGATCCAAGGTAATTTGGCGGAGCTAATTGTGTAAAATACTTACTGGTTCACAGGAAGACTGGTGGAAAAAGACAATGGACAAAGAGGAGGTTTTTAGCTGTGATGGCAGCTTTTGTTTCTCCCTTTTTCTATTCACCAAGATAACGTGGGACCTGCCATTTATAGGGAAGAAGTACAACTCACGTGGCCGCCTCATCTCCACATGTAGGGTGGGACCTTCAGTGACTTGATGAAAATAAGCACCTGTCTTGTTCTCCGGTTGCTTTCTAACTAATTGTGGCCCCTTTTCTCTTGCCAGTTGCCAGAGGCTCTACCCTCTGAGAAGGAAGAACAGGAAGCCTGGGTGAATGCCTTGCTTGGAAGAATGTTTTGGGACTTCTTAGGAGAGAAATACTGGTCTGATCTGGTGTCTAAGAAAATCCAAATGAAACTCAGCAAAATAAAGGTATTGTTTTCTACATGAGAGGTTTCTGGTTCTTCACATTTCTTAATTTCTGAAAGTTTTGTATCATTATGCCCTAAGTGAAAAATAACTTAGTTTAAAACATATGACACGTGAGGGTAGTAAGTTCCTATCAAAAAGCATGTCTGGTCTATGGCCTTGATGGTAGGCCAAACTGTACCTGGGAACTGAGGGAACATTTCTGTTTACTTTTTCCTTGGGCTGCCCTCACTGTTACCCACTCTAGATGATGATCCAGAATTTGATTTGGGAAAATGTGAGCTTTTGTAGCGGGTGTGTCTTGTATAATTCTGTTCTTTAAATTAGTAATGAACTCAAATTGTACGTCCAGGGCCCTCAGCCTCACAGTGGTCTACACCGAGCAATATACGTTCTGAGGAAAATGCCAGACCATTTCAGACCTCTTTCCCAAGTCATGTTCCCTCCCAAAGCTGGGAAGGTTAGCATTATGCTCTAAATGTGTCTGCGTTTGACCTTTACTTTTTGGCCAGATGGGACTTTATTTTGGGCTCACTCTCTGCTGAAGAAACCATCCTAGTGCTGATCCAGGCCCACTTGGAAGTGGGTTTAAACTGCATAAGTATTTCTCGTAATTGTCATTAAATGACTCATTTGCCAACCAAGAGGCCATAGTTAGCTTACTGAGAAGTAAGTTTTTGACCTGGTGAAGACCCAGCCAAGGAATAGTAACTTTGGTCCCAAATCTTCAGTGAAGGCTTACTACATGGTTAGTAGCTGAAGTCAGTGGTTCTGAATCTTTTGGTCATAAATTCCTTTGAGAAGCAGAAGCCTGGATCCTTTTCCTAGAAAAATGCACATAGATACCAAATTTTGCCCACAATTTTAGAGTTCAGGGACTCCATGTTAGGAAGCTATGAGCTGAGGTAAAATTATATGAGGAGAAAATGTGAGCATGGAGGAGGTTCAGTTCGATTTCTGTCATTCCTTTGGATAAAGCACAGAGCTTTTTCTAGCTTAGTCATGCTCTAGCAAGCTCTGGCTGCTGGCTGTGGGCCGGTGTTGTCCCCTCCCAGCCCCTGATGAAGAGGAGGCACTGCCTTCTGAGCTTAGGGAGCTGGATTCAGGGCAGGGATTTTGGGAGGGCTCTGTGGACAAGTGACAGCCTATTTGTGCTGTTAAGGTGGGTTGAGGATTGAACCTGTTTCTCCTGGCAGGTTTTATAGAGGGGAAGGGGCAGGCACAGTGACTGTCTTGTCTCAGGAAATGAGAGTTCAGCATGTGACCTGGAGGTCGCTAAACTTCTTCTCCTTATTGGAAAATGATGGAAACATTGAGTTTCCAGGTCAAGCAAACCCACCGTGCTGCCACCGCTCTTTTTCAAGATACTGTTTCGGGCTTTCCCATGAGCAGGAGGGCTGTGGGCTCCTTGCAGTGTGAGATGGAAAGCAGGACATGCGTGAACTCCAGACAGGAAGCTGCCTTCCCTGTTACACACCATCCAGAATGAACTTGACGAGGAGGTGTTTCACTCTTCTCTCTGGAGGCAGAAGTCTGTAGAGCCTCTGCCCCTTAGTGGAGAATGGTGAGCTTCCTCACTGCAGAAGAAGTTGAAGGAAAGTCTTTTATTTTCATTTTCTCCCTTTACAGTTGATGTGGGCTTTTGCAGTTTAGAAACTGAAGCTTCCTTTGGTTTTTTGAGGTCAGAAGTTCTGAAAGGTTAGAATGGGGAAATGATCCAACAGCATCAGTGGTTCAGCGGCAGGGGCTGTATCCCTCCATCAGCCTTAGTACATCTCCATGCCCTCCACCCCCACCTGAGCTGCTGCCTTAGGAAGTGACCTGCAGACCAGAGGGGACCCTGGGCAATGGACTAAACAGGAAGGCAACAGAATATTACTCCTCAAATTCTGAACCTGCCACCACCCCTGCCGAAAGAATGCTTATTATGACTAAATATCCAGGTTCCCCTGGAGAAGCTGTACCTTAAACCTAGTAGGGAGTGGGTGTTGGGTAGCAGCCAGCCCAGAGCCAGCATGAGGACAGAGAAGTGAGGCCTGGAGGAGCTGAGCTGTGACACAGATCTCCTCTGTCTCCTTGTTTCCCTGGAAGAACTCTTTGCCAGCCTTGCCCTGCAGTCCCAGGTTGTCCCCCTCACGGTGATAAAGATTCGTGTTGTGAAAGAGCAGCCCTCTGTGTTATCTGGTACCCAGTGATGGGTTTAAAACCAGTTGAATTTCTGCCCAGCAGCAAATACACTCTTGGCCTCAGCCAGCTGCTTGCACGCCACCTTGGGACCCTTGGTGGTTATGGGCCTCTTGTGACTGTGTCAGTATCTGCTGCTCTTACTGCAAGCAGCCCTCACTTACCACCCACCAACCTGAGAGTGTCCCATACACCTGAATCTAGTCCCCAGTTGGGTTAACTCAGGAGGATAAAGAACGTACCACTGGGTTCCTGTCTCATTGAGGTGCCCTTTGGGTAGGAGGAGAGGCATTTCTGGTTGAAAAGAACGAGAAGTGATCTTTCCATGCTTTCCCCGGTCGGGTAGGAAGAAGATTCCTCTAGAGTCCAGTACCAAGAGTTTGAAACCAGGCAGAAATCTGAACAAGGAGGGGTGTTTGTGTGTGTTGTGGATAGAGTTTAGAGATGGTCTCGAATCTTGGGGTCGGGCAGATGGATAAGTAGGAAACCAGGCCCAGCTGCCCTCCCTTCCCCATTCTGCATACTGGCAATTAGGGCCCACCCCTACCCCATCTTTCTCAGTTTCTTTCACCCCCACTCTTTCATCATAGGTCCTGTCTCAGGTCCGTCCTTTGCCCTTGCAGAGACTGCAGGGTGCAAGATGGGGGAGGGGGTCCTGGAAAGGGGAAGAGGAGGCACGGTTGTATTCCTGCTGTCTCTGTATTCGCTCCTGTGGCTCAGTGTGGGACTGGTGTTCCCATAGAAACACTGTTGGAAGTGGTGACATTGCCTGGCCAGCCCTCGGAGCCTCTAACCCAGCGTGCTCCTGAAACACTAGCTATTAGAATGGCAATAATGAAGATAAAGAGCTGTGGCACGGGTACGGATTTTGGTTACGTTTTTGGCCATGGAGCACTTTTAGGCTGTTGAACTCTCATTTCCTGAGACAAGACAGTCACTGCTGCCTGCCCCTTCCCCTCTACAAAACCAGCCACCACTTATACCACTGATTCTTTGGAAAAAGGTTTTCCAAATACAACCACCACCAATTCAAAAACGCATGTTTGAGCACTGCCTCTGCTCACATTTTGTTCATCACAGGCATCGTGATCTCTTTAAAGTAATCTCTTCACCGCACCCTTGTCCCCCAACAAAATCAGAGGTGAGATTCTCTGACTGGTGAATCCTAAAAGTTTGTAAGTTTTTCTGCAGAGAGACAGCTGAAGTAGTCCAGCAACTTAAGTGTTAAATCCATACCTGGCTAAGTGCTGCCTTGTTTTATGGGAAATATTCAGCAAATGATTTTTTAAAAACTCGTAATTCTAAATTTTTACAAAATCCTTCTAACGTGTAACTAGAAAAATACTTAAAATACTTGTGAGAATAAGAAAATTCTCGGGGAAAACGAAGCGGAGAGGGGCTTGCCAGATTTAAAAATATGAAACTACGGTAATAAAAGCAGTTCGAGACTGGCAGAAAACAGTGCTCAATACAGACTCCAGTATAGTGGAAATCTGGTATTTAAAGATGGCATTACAGATTAATGAGGAAAGGGTTGGTTACTCAGTAACAGCTTGGGACGGTTGATGAGCCATTTGGAAAAAAAAATAAAGTTGAATCCCTACTTTACGCCTTACACTAAAATTCTGAATGGATTAAAGATTTAAACAAACAAAAATACAAATACATACACAAATCCACTAGGAGAAAATATAGATGAATTCTTTCTGTAATCTTGAGGTGAAGTAGGACTTCCTAAGCATGATACCAGTGCTCTTATGTATTTCCTTTAGAATAAATCCCCACTGATAGATTTGGGGGTTTGTATTAGTTCCGGGTCCCAGCAGGAGACAGATGGGGTAGCCTGAGGGGAGAGTTTAATAAAAGAAAGATTTATAAAACTGTAGGCAGATGTAGAGAGACTAAAAGGGATAGATCAGCACCCTAGGTAGGGCTAGCAGCAGTGGGGAGCTATTACTGCTCCCTGAAGGGCCAAAGGCAAGGAGCAGTTACTGGAACTCCGAAAAGGTAGCCTTGTGGAGAGGGCTGCCCACCTGATAGCAGCGGTGGCCTTCAGTAGAGGGATTTGTGGAGGGGACAAATGCCTACAACACTCTTATCCACGTGCCCCTACCTCCCCTGCCCATTGGTGTATCCCATTGGCCGTGCCCAACTAGAAGCCAGAGTGGTTCACATAGGCCAGTGTCTCCAGGTAGAGGGTGGAGCGCAGATCCAGAAGAGGAACAGAAGGTGTCCAGCCTGAGGTCAAAGGGATGTGATTTTTAAAAGATGTCATACATGTTCTAAGTGTGCTTATTGGAAATGTTATTGTAATCGCTTCCTCCCCACTAATGGTCTAAGAGAGGCTCATTTTCCCATACTTTGGCCAACTCTGGGCACTATTCATCTAACCAGCATGGCTGGCTTCTTTTCCACCGTCATATTTCTAGTCAAAAGCCACTCCTTAGAAAAGCCTTCCTGGACCTCCTTAGCTAAAATAGCTACTCCCACCCACGCCGCAGGCTCCCTCTGTCTTGTTACCTGCTTTATTTTCTTTGTAGCACGAGTCACTCTCTGAAACTATATTATTTATTTGTCTACTTATTCATCGGTTTCCACCTCTCCTGTGTTAACCGCATGAGAGCAAGGCACTTGCCTGACTTGTTCACAGTGCTGTCTTCAGTATGATGCCTAGTACGTGGTAGGCACTCAGTATATTTTGGTTAAATAAATGATGTATCCCCCAAACACTGGCCACCATTCCCTCTAAGAGTATGTTGCATTCTAACTTACCTTAGCACTTTTACCAGGTTAATAACGTTTCTCATCCACTGTTTGCTTCTTTCCTCCAGCTCCCCTACTTTATGAATGAGCTGACTCTGACGGAACTTGACATGGGGGTGGCTGTGCCAAAAATCCTTCAGGCCTTCAAGCCTTATGTTGATCACCAAGGTAACTCTTAACTGACTCTAGAGAGGAGCTGACCGTTTTTATGAATGTTAAAATGTTTGCATCACTGTGTATTCAGTACCAAGGCTTTGTATTTGGAGGGGGGTGGGGATTATTTTTAACCATCTATTACATGTTGAAGGAGCCCTGGTGACACAGTGGTTAAGTGCTTAGCTGCTAACCGAAAGGTCGATGGTTCAAACCCACCAACCACTTCATCGGAGAAAGATGTAGCAGTCGGCTTCCGTAAAGATTACAGTCTCAGAAGCCTGGTGGAGCAGTTCTACCCTGTCCTATAGGGTTGCTATGAGTCGGAATCGACTCGACAGCAGTGGGTTTTTGGTATTTCATGTTGAGTGTCTTCTTCTTTTTTTAAAATATTTTATTGTATTTTCATTGCAGGATTACACAGCAATTTAGGTTCCCATTCAACAATTTCTACACAGATTGTTTAGTGGTATTGGTTACATTCTTCTCAATGCGTGAACACTCTCAATACTTCCCCGTTCTGGCTGTTTTGTTTCCATTAGTCTATTTCCCTGCCCCCTTACCTTCTCATCTTTGTTCTAAAGTAATTGTTAACTGTTTAGTCTCATATAGATGATTTTAAAGGAGCACAGTACTCACGGGTGATAGTCTTTATTTTGTGAGCCAATCTGTTATTTAGCTAAAAGGTGACCTCAGGGGCTAGTTTCGGTTCATGGCTTAAAAGTGTCTTTTCTTCTTAACAGTCATGGCGTTAAACTGATGGGGAATAGAGCAGGGATCACCCTCCTAATCCTAGTTTCTCAGATCCTTACAGGGCCTCCTCTAGCCCAAAGATGCCCACATGCTAGCTGATGGGGCCTGAGCTTTTGTGTGATTTAGAAACAGTACCTACCCTGGAAGGAGCCCTGGTGGTGCATTGTAACCACTGCTAACTAAAAGGTTGGCAGTTTGAACCCACCAGTCGCTCCATGGGAGAAAGATGTGGCAGTCTGCTTCCATAAAGATTACGACCTTGGAAACCCTATGGGGTAGTTGTACTCTGTCCTGTAGGGTCACTCTGAGTTGGAATCAACTCAACGGCAACGGGTTTTGGTTTCAGGACCTACCCTGGTGGCCTCAGCCCTTGCCAGGGTGGAGGCAGTGGTGTGGATTTCAGCCCCGCTGACCCCTTGTATGGTCCTGGGCCCTGGCCCGTCACCAGGAGCTGCCTCTCATCATATGGATTCACATCTTTCTTTACCTCAACCCCACTTTTAGGTTGCAAATTATTTGTTTTACATCTTTCTGTTCCTTGCCACTCCTAGTAGGTGCTCAATTAAGTGTTTGAAAAATGAAGCCATATTCTAAGGCAATATTGTGAGAGAAAAGTTCTCTGCTGAGGAAGGTTTGCAGATTTGATTTTTAAAACATGCTACTGACACAATATTTGTGCCTGCTCTTATGAGTGGAGGAAAAGGAGTTGATCAGAATGTAGAGAGAGTTTAAATACAGTTATAACATAAAGATTTGTGCATGTTTTATGACACATGGGGTTTTTTCTTTTATCACAATCTTTTTATTGTTGTAAAGATAAATATATAACACACCTGCCAATTTAAGATTTTTTACGTGTACACTTTAGTGACACTAATTACATTAATCATGTTGTGGAGACATCATCAATATCCATGGGACGTGTGGTTTTCAAAGAACCTTGACAAGGAAAATTTAGTATACAAGAGTTTGGTGAAAAGAGGAGCAAGCCAGGTAGGGAGGAATAGCTTATGACAGGGCAGGGAAAAAAGTCTCACCACCATGGAAGACTTTTTCATCACTGTAGCTGCGCTTTCCAAGTGAGCCTGTTACCCCTTCAGCTCATGAACAAGGTAGGGGAGAGAATAATTAGAATTTTCCAAGAAAGGGGTATTTGTTCTGAAGTAAATGTTTTTGTAAAATGTGTGGAGTATAGAAGCTGCTTTTGTCTCACTATATCAGATGGCTGTTGCATCACATTTAGTGAAATCATTTGTCTTCTGTTGTGTACATTTGATGAAAACACAGAGATTTTCTAGTGCTACAGTGAGCAACTCCATCAAATCTCTCTAAGGATATCTTTCAGCTGACTGTGAGACCATATTTCTGTTTTTAGCATAGCATCGATTTCAGAGAAAGCCAGTCCAGAGTATTATTTGCAAATCTAAAAGTCCACCTAGTACTAATCACCTGTAACCCCCTCACCGTGTCTCCACCGTGGTCAGTCAGAGTGCTCCTGGGTTGGGTTAATTTCTGGTTAATGGAGAGTAAAACTAGAAAAGATTTAGACTCTTTGCAAATAGTTTAGCTAGAATTCTTTTAGCCCCCATGGAAAAAATTTGTGAGATGAATTTTTTTGTGTGTTAACTGTAACACCACCAGTGGAAAAGGGCTGCCGGCCTTCTTCTGACTCCCTGTTGCCCTTTGCTCTTTGCCTCTTGAGGAATTGACCTGTGACAAGCTGATAAATGATCAGCTGACCTAACCCTCCTGAGAACTGGGCCTAAAGAAAGTAAATAATATATGTAAATGCTGTTTTCTAATGCGTTAACAATCTTTTATCTCACGACTGTTTTTTTGTTGAATTAGTAGAAATTTCCAAGCAGGGGCACAGGACCACAGGTGGACTTTGACAGCATCTAAGAAGTGTCCCTACAGCCTCACCTCACAGGGCAGCCTCATCTCACAATCAGACTTTGAGTAAATGTCACCAAACACCTAAGCCTCAAGTTTCTTTCCTGTTCCTCTAGAACAGGAGCTATGGAAAGACATTTCACTGTATAGTTCAGAGCTTTGCTGGTTTGTAATCCATTTGAGGCTTATTTAGCTCCTTTCAGGGCAAGTTTTAGAGATCTACCTGCTTATGTAACAAGGGAAAAAAGGAAGGATAATGACATAAAGCCTGTGAGTTTTTAAAAGTTGGATCGAATTAGGTGTTTCCCAAGTCTGCAAAGGATGCATGTGATGGTAAAACAGAAATGCACACAGAGGAAATGTGCAGTTTGGATTCTCTTGCTCTAAGGGAAACCTTTCCTTTTAGGAAATGTAAAATCTGGGGTGACTTGCTAAAACTGACTCTTAAAAAGTGGAGTTTACCTTCCAGGGAAATGCTCCCCAGGGTGAAGAAGGCTTTAGCAGCTCTAAGGACATACACACACACCCTCCAGAGGGATCATCCCCCCTCCCCCCACTTTTAAATGTTTCCTAATTTGCGCATTAGTGCTCAGGAGGAGTTTTCAGGCCAGAGCTGGTTGGATCCTTCCATCCTAGGACGAGGAGAAGGGGATGCTGTTCTTAAGGCAGGGTACACCGGTAGCTCTGAGCACCACTAGCCCTGGAGTGACTTCAGGGTTCACAGCTCCAAGGCCTTGGGCAGGTGCCTTAACCTTCCTGCCCTCTGTTTCTTCAGCTATCAGATGGGCATACTAACAGCACCTACTTCATAAGCAATGTGAAGATTAAATGAATTAATCCACAGAAGGCACTGAGAACGGTAGCTGGTGCAAGGCAAGCGCTGTGTAAGTGCTAGCTATTGTTTTTACCATCATTATTGCGGCTGCTCTTGGAGAGTTTAGAATGTGGTGGCTGTGGTGTCCCATTGATCCATCTGACAGCTCAAAGCTGGCAGATCCTAGTGGGAGCAATGGAAAGAAAAATGTTATTCTCGACTCTCATGGCCCCAGTGTTAAGTGGAGCTGTTGGTCTGAGTTCTAGGACACACAGCCCATTCTAGTGTAGTGAGTAAATCAGGTTAAATGCCCACCTTTCCCGTTTCCCAGGGTGTCTTCACTCCCCACCAATGGCAAATGGCTGGAAAGATGGAGCTCCCTCCCCACTGCGAACTGGCTGTGCACCTTCTGCCTTAGCTCTGACCCCTCCCCTCTCCACACACCTCTAGCCTTGAGGTGTGTGTGGGGTTTCAGGGTCTTCTTTTGTCTGTTCGGCTCCAGCAGGGAGGCCCAGGAGCCTGCCTGTTTCCCTCCCTGCCTCAGTCGGCTTCCCTCCCCACCCCTTATACCCGCCCTGGGTCCCTGTTTCCAAGGCCTGTCCTGGGGCCACCAGGCCATCCCTCTCAGCCAAGCTCTTTACAGCTGTTTTATTAACTCTGTTAGAATAATGTTCATTCATTCACTCAACAAATACTTCTGTGGAGAAAACTGGAATATTTAGAAAAGGCAAAAAGGATAATGCTATCCATCATTCCACCGTTGAGAGATGGGCAGGGTGACCTTTTTGGTATGTTCTTTCCTAATCTTTTTTCCTATAGATAAAAATTAATTTAGAAAGTATAGCTCTTCATTAAACCCTTAAGGAACCAGGCAGATTGACTATTTAGACCTGAAAGGCAATCAGGATCTCCTGGCAAGACCCCACAGTATTTTAGATGCGTAAGCCGAAGCTGGGGGTGAGGGGACTCACCAGATGTCACCCGCAGCATCGCCTTTCTGTCCTGTTCCGTGGCTTCTAGGTCAGTGCCAGAGGCTCATGAGCACTGCTCCTTCACCAGCGAGGCGTGGGAGCTCAGGAAGTTACTAACCTCTCCACACCCGCTTCCTCATCCATGAAGCGGTGATGGCAGTAGTGTCTGCTCCTTCAGATGTGGTGGAGAGGAAATGTTACATGTAAAGTCTCAGCACCACGGGGCACATGGGAAACCATCAGTGAGTGTTTGCTGCTGCTGTAAAAACTTCCTAAAGGCACTGGTGGGGGTCAGGGGGCAGGTTTTCATCTTCCGTGCCTGGGACGAGGACACACAGAGCAGTGCTACAGGTGTGTCAGCAGGGTCAACTGAACCAAGGCTGTGGACTGCAGCCCCTCAAGTTTAGATCAATCCGTTTAGTCTTCACGATGTTTGCTGCAGGTATTCAAGTCTGCAACTAGTCTTCCGTGGACGGGGAACCATACTGGTTTTGTCCTGTCTTGAGATACCCGGATGCCAACCCAAGTTTTGACTGCAGGTCCCAGATTCTGTGGGAAAATTACCTCATTCCCACAGGAGATAG